AGCTTGGAATTACTGAAGTAGGTTCGAACTGTCGCATCAGGTGCCCTCTCCCTTTTTGGATGGAATAGAGCCCCTAAATCTATGAACCTAGAAGAAGGACATGTGAAAAGCGGGCCGCAGTGCGGGGAGCGAGATGCTGTGACTTTTTTCTGGAATCATTGATGAGGTCGTTGAAGGAAGTGGAGGGAATGAGAAGCAGTATCATTTCTACTGTCACAAAGCCTCGGCTTTTGCACTCTATTTGTGTTCATTTTTTAGTTCAAAATCTGGTATTCTAATCTCTGAATCAAGTATGAAAAAACTTTATGAGTAATGGAAAGTGAATATATAATAACTGAGGAAGCCCAGAAGTTAGATTCAAAAATGAGAAAAATCCAAAAACTTAATAAGAAGAAATTGTCTGGCCTTTCTAACATCTCCCGCTGGATCTGATTTTCAAATGACATTCCATAGCAATTCTTATCAGACAAGCTTGGTCACAGTCAAGCAAAGCCTTGGGCAAAGATTTGTGTTGAGTTTGTATTTTCACATATTTTGGAGTCTGCAACGGAATTCTTGAATGGGTGTGTTAAGGGTCGGTTTGAATGATGAGAATGCTTGAAACCTCGACTCAAGTTTTTGATGCCTCTTAATCTTAGCTCCTTTGGGAGTCATCTCACGAGTCTCTTTTGTGTACCCATGGAGCCTGATTCTGGTCATTTCTAGGCGTACGACATCTGCGTTGTCGAGCTCAATGTCCACGCTGTCGATGTGTCGTGCAGCTGGGAATTTGGTTCAACTCATTGAAAACCCTGCATTTGAAACGCTTTCCGGGAAGTACCTGGATTCAATGGGCAAACAAATCAGGTTAGTCTGTTTTAATAATAGTTCTTGAGTCTTTTTTATTTGAGAAATCGTACAAAAAAACCTTGGCGTTGCACCCTCTTTTTCTTTGCGGTGATAGTTTGAGGCTGGCCTTCGAGGGGCTTACTAGGAATTGTTTGCGTGGAGACGTGAGGCCAGCGACAACTGTCCTCGCAGCCTCTTTGGGCTTACTCCGGCTTGCATAAACACAAAGTATAAGCACTGAGACTCCATTGACATTTTTTTGGAGCGAGGGGTGGAAGGCTCTCTGCGTCCAGACATCTTCGTACATATAAAATACACTGGTGTGCAAAATTTAGGGACGAAAATGTATGCTATACGAAGTTATGGCGAGTAAGATGACTCTTTGGAACCTAACCCAGCTGTCACAGGGCACTAAAAAAACTAGTTAACAAGAACCGGTAAACGGTCCACAAATCTATCAAAAGGTTGTGATATATCTCTCCTCCTAGTTGCACACAGTACATAATATGGATGTGCCTAGTATAAGTTCTAGTGTGACGTCGAGCGATAACTATTTCCGATTTCAATTCATGTTCAAATAAGGATATCGGCTATCATTTCTTACTCCTGAATTTTAAATAATTTCATCGAACGAATGCTATAGAGAGACGTGTTCCTCCATCACTGCTTTCTTACTTGATCATGTTAATACGGTCAAAGATTCTTGCATGTTGAGTGATATGTCTTTGAAGGTGTGAGAGGAGGGGTTCGGAGGGGTGTCGGCAAATAATGACACGTGTCACCGAGTCTTGATTTCACGAAACGTAACGTGTTCGAAGCAGTCGCATATGATTTTATAGATAGTCTGATTTGCAGCAAATTACTTGGTCTTTCGTGAGCATTGCAGACAAGGACCTGGCGGGAGATGTTCCTCTACTGCAATCAAGTAGGAAATTGTTCCGACCAGTTGCCGGCGTTAACCCCAGCGGTCGTGGCACGAGGAAACGATTTGTTCCAATAAGCCCGATTAGTGAAATAGTGGCGCTTAGTTGAGAAGCAGTCCGATGGGAATATCAAATGGGAAGCAATTTAGCCCCAATCTACAAAAATCTTAAAGAACCTAATCCCCAGAGTTTCATATGCACGCAGGTGCATTCTCAGAATTTCAAATTTGTGTTAAAGCCACGAGCAGGATTAGGTCAGGCCATCATTCTAGAGGAAGGAAGAAGTCCAAGGGCGAGTAGGGAGACAATGTCACGACTCCCAGAAGTTCGAGCCTGCTGCCAAAACATTCATTTGTGCTGCGTGCGACCCAGCGTAATCCAACACGGCATAGGTGGTCTCTGCGTCTTCTCGCGTACGACGTACTATCTCGCGTTCTCCCTCTCCTCGCAACACTGTGTCTCTCCGTCGTACTACGGGCGGCCTCCTGAGGGAAATTTAGTGTTTTCTATGGTGCTTATTTCTTTTCTCTCCAAGTCTATCATTCATCCTATCCCTAATTTTCAGAAAAATAACGCACAGTTCAATCCGCATCGTGCCTTTAAGTGGTGATGGGTCTCTCGCTGTTCACTCTCCATTCGAATTGGGCGCTTCCGCATATATCAGGAAACTTCACCGAGATCTGATGGACAACGACTGAGGGACCTTTCTCTTTGTTAGAATCGAGTGAAAAAATTAATTTTAAAATGTAGGTGGTTGTCGAAAAGAGACTGTAAATGACTCAGCACTCATCCATACCATTTCTTTTGTCGTTCCTGTGAAAGGCACATCAACGACTAGTAATCAGAGTTAGTAATTTAGTGGGCTCCTAAAGATTCCAAACGTACACTGTTGTTGGAACTTTCTTTTTGCCTGTATCTTTATACTGCGTCTGCTCCTCTGCGATAAATCCTTTACCTTCATATTATGTCTGCATGAGAATTTCAGGAGGTCTATGTGGTATAACAATAAGCATGGTCCCAGTTCACTTAACGGGTCCGGTTCTAGCGCAGCCAACTGAGCATTCCCTGAGCGTAAGACCAGTCCTTTGGGTTTCGCTGGGACCCTAGCCGAATGTTGAGAGTGATGGGGTCCTCACGGTCGACGTTTACTTCAAGCTGTTGTTACATAGGGAGTATTGACGATGTTGTGAGTGGCGTCAGCAGCTCGCCGAAGTCTGTTGTCACCAGACTAAGCTATGCAGAGGACGACCGTCTCTGCAAGCTTAGTATGAGGTGAGACCAAATGTGGCGTTTAGGACCGAGTGAAGGGTTCGTCACCGGTCGGGAATCATCCCTCCCCAACTTCAGTACGTTCCCACCCGAACGACAAAAAGGGATGGTTTGCTTTACGCCTTGCTGAGCCTTCCACCCTGTCAAGATCAGTGCAGTGGTGTCAGATATTGTAGGAAAAAGCAGCCATTTGCATATATCATTCGCTACTTGGGGCGGAAGTGGTGTAGTGGCAAGTGGCGCGCTTACCACGCGAGCGGTCCGGGATCAAATCCTGGGTCGTGAGTCGCCCGGGCCAACCAAGCCTTCCATCCCTCCGGGGTCGGTTAATTGGTACCAGACTTGTCTGGGAGGATAAAAACACTGACTTGTACATCGGCTGGCCCCCGCAAGTCATTGTATAGGCCACATCGCATTCAAAATGCCACTGCGAATGGAAGTAATGAGTGATGCATCCTTCAAAGCGATTGATCAACATCGAATGCTTTATTCTTTTTTACGTTTTATATAATTCTCGTGGTAGCTAACAGCTTTGAAGGATGGTAGCCTGGTTGGCGTGGGCAGGTACCGATCCATAGCCAATGTGTGTGCTAGGACCCTATACCACCCCTTAGATTTCGAGTGACCAAATTATCTGTGTACATTTCAGGTCTGGAGCTGAGGCGACTGACGAGCGACTTCAGGAGCGACTATGGGCGTATTCAGCGGAACTTGCCAAAGGGTACATCTAGCAGAGTTCCTACCAGCAGCCACAGCGACTCGTCGTTGTCGTCGTTCGTCAGCCATCTGATGCATTTCATTTCCTCCTCCTCTTTCCTCCTACTCCTCCTTCTCGTCCTCGTTTGACTATATATGTTCGACTCTATGACAGGTGTTATCTATATGTGTGTATAATAGTCAAATCAGTCTAGTACTCTGTACATAGTGTACATTTTGCTAGTGCATTCCTTTCCTTTCTTCAGCTCCAACGTTGATGATGGAAATTGTATGGTAAAAGAGAAGACCCAGGAATGGTTGGTCGCGCCGCGCATCTACACTGAGATCCTCCTCGAAACGACTTACGCTCTCCCTCCTCCCTCTTTCTGCTCTTCATTTGTGGTTCTCTAGTCGTGCTTTGACGTTGATCGCTAGCTTATCGATTTATTGACTTCCTTTTTTATTACTCTTACCTTCGAGGACCTAGTCTTCTCACGACGTGTATTGCAGCTTGTACATATATACGTTTAATAAAAGACTTATTTCTTCAAGAGGTCGATTTGAGCGCTTCTCAAAGTTCCTGGTTACTCTGTAGAGCGGTCTCTGCGGACCCTTAGGACTTATAGTATGGGTTAGGATTTGTTCCGGAACACTCCAGCCACCACTTTTGGCTCTCAGCAAAATCACTTAGTAATTGAGAGGAATGCCACAGTAGGCACGCCACTTTGAAATTTCACCCCCTGGCCTGGTGATTTTGAAAGCAGTGAACATGATGGCTGGAAGGGAGAGCGGTTTTGATGACGTCATTGGACGTCATTGCTGGGTTACGGTCAGCGCGCTGGGTGTACGGTTAGGACCGTCTCCTTGACGCTCTCTCCACCTTTGACATCCATTCACATCATCAAAGCTGCACTGCCCTCCAGCCGCCGTGACCACTTCCTTTAAGACTGAAATTCTGCAGGTTAACCATCTGTCTCACTTCGTCATCAGCCGCCAACTGCGCCCGCTTCTCCAGCAGAACGAGCCGTCGAGAATCATCTTCGTATCAAGTATCTGTTATGATTGGTAAGCCATTAGTCTCCGTGAAATTCCAATTTTCTGATGAATTGATGTTTGCATAACAAATAGCAAGGGTATCAAGATGTCTACCACGGATTCGTGTTGTGTACTTATTTGACATGCCTATATTCCTCCACTGAAACCCTCTATACGATTGCTGAGTGTTTTTGGAGCGTTGTTGGGACTTGTGTTGCGCTCGCATAGTTAACACCCATTTCCCACATGTTCACGCTGGAAAGCGTGTCGTTACGTCCAGATTCCGCCATGCATATGTGCCATAAATGTGCCATTAGTGTACACATTTTCGCGGAAGTGCCAGTTCAGATGTGTGAATTAGGACGTTGGAATGTTCTAGGAGGGATTGTAATGGTGTTTGGGAGATATTTCTACTGAGTCAGTGTCGGAAACGTGCATTAGTATCAGTTCGTGCCCAGCTAATAACCGAATAAAACGCCTTTTTCATGCCGTGGGTTTTACTCCAAGAGTTATTAGGGTCTTTGAGCTTCTGCTCAACCACTTTCCGCTGTTGCCCGAAGGCCTAACTCTAGCGGTTGCTGGTGGCTATGTGGGGTTTAGTTCGGGATATCAAATATGCCTGTAGCTGCTGTCGTTCATTGTCTGTCTATCCCTGTAACTCAAAGGGACAAAGCTGAGCTTAATGCGCCAGTTTATTTAATTGTGGGCAGTTTCTTGAAATAGTTTTGACAGTGATTTCAGTTATTTTACTGAGTTCTATGATTTTTAAAAGTGAATTTGGTGGTACGGTCGGTAGCGGCCTGGCTAAAATTCTCAAAAATTTTAATACGGCTGTACCCGTCGTATCACTTTGGGGTGTAGCTGAACTGCTACTCTCCCATTTCTGATCCACATATGGCTTAATCCCGTCAGTCCTCTATTCTTCCTGCCACTTTGTGCTGTTTAGCTACAAATATCATGTATGACTAAAAATTCATATTGGTTATGAATTTACAGCCCGCACTAGTCATTGCTGTATTTACCAGAACCGATACAATAGAGATGAAACCCTCGTTCAGGTACCCACTTGACTTTTCCGATCTCCAAGCAACCAAATATGGCGACGCTTATCTGCAGTACTCGCGTAGCAAATTGATGAACCATATGACAGCGTTCAAAATGGCCCGTGAAAAGGATGACGGAGTAACGGTGAACGTGTTGGAGCCAGGAGTCTGCGAGACGAAGCTTCTCAAGTGGGCACTTTGCAAGTTTTGCCCGTTGCCACACAGTTTCATACTGTTGAAGCTCATGATTGTATGCCCTTGTCATGCTAATCCAAACATCCTTGTAGACGAGGTGGTTATTCCGGCGGACCTGTCAAGGACGGAAGTGTGGCTCCCGTGCACCTTGTTATGTCTGACGAGGTGAAAAATATCACCGGCGCCTACTTCAATAACCGCGGAAAGGTATATATCTTTGCTTGGATTGCGCTGAATCTCTATCTTTGATCGAAAAAAAAGTTATTTCAGAGAATAACCTCACTGAGTGCAGATTCGACGGATGTGAAACAACAGGACCGTTTATGGAAGATGAGCGAGGAAATCTGTGCAAAATTCGGAATCACTTTTTGAGCCACTTGTCTCCTTTTGCAGTTTGCTAGTTTGAATAAACGTTTTGCAGCTCTAAGAGAAGTGGATGGCAGCAGGCTCATGCCATTGAGAAAATAAAATGACAAATATTATCCTGATTCTACTCACTTACTTGGACACCTGGATGTAGTTGTCTGCCGATGATCTTCAGCGGCGAGCAACGCTTCCCTCCATTTTTGACGACTTCGGGCGTTTTGGGTTATCCCGATTACCGATGAAAAAGGCGATGGTAAAAATAGAGATAGCAGCAGTTGTACCAGGGAAGAGCTCCTTTGACAGCTTTTTTTTCGGAATTCCTTTTTTTCTGCTCGTAACCTTGCACATGGCCTTTTATGACCATACACAGCACATATAAACGGAAAAAAGAGGAACAGACTTCCAGTGCACGATGCCTTTAGGTGAAAACATCATATCGCAAACAATGAAATACATCGCAACACATATGTCTTGACGGTCCGTGGTGTAATATAGGAAAATATGAAGTGCTAGACGTTCGTCAATCAATCGAACGACTACCTTTTGGGAACGCGCCAGGCATCCAACTCCCCCTCAGGATCACATTTTCACGCAAAGGCAGTGAAAAAGACGGCTGGAGGGCGGTGCGGTCTCAGTGACGTCATCGAACGCCATTGGTGGGAGAGCGTTGAGAGATGGTTCCAACCGTACCACAACTGTTCTGCGGAGCCTAGTCCACCAATGACGTTCGATGGTGTCATCAAAATTACCATCCCCCAGCTTTCATGAACACTGCCTTTAAGTATTACTTTGCCTCAACACTGAAAAGATCAGCCCTTGCCGACTTGCAAACCATTATATCATCTTAGAAAATCGCTACCCGTTGCGATTCGTACCTCATTAAATGCTTTTCACAAGATTGATCTTTTGGTCAATACGGCTTATTTGGTCGAGTCCGAAGCAGCTCATTCCAAAATAACTAGCTGGTTTTGGATCAATGGCTCCAAGGCAAAGATCATTCTCAAGGCCAGATGGGATGCTTTGCACCTGCATAGTGCCTAATCAACAGCATATGCTCACTAGCCGCTTGGTCTTTCGCATGGTTTCGGGTTTCTTATAGATTTTGTCAGATTACTAGACCTGATCTGCAGTCTGTAGTTATCCCTGGACTACGTTTAGCGCTTCTGATTCGTCGTGATAGAGTTTTGTCTGAAAATGAGCTAAAGGAAATTGAAAGTTGGCAATCAAAGCTTAAATTTTTTAATTTTGTAACAAAAGTCAGTACGTATAAGAATAGTGCACATAAATACTACTCATAAGAAGGTCAAACCTATATATACATCTTAGCAATTTAGGAAATTTTAGACCCTTTGCACTACAATGAATGCGATAGTTCCTTTCTGGGAAGTCTTTTTTCTCGGGACGCCTTACTATCTGAAAATTTTATCGAAGTTCAAAACAGGATTTCAATAGGGTGCTAGTCATGATTCTATTACGTAAAAACGCGGCAGTAATATGACGGAACAGCCCTTTCTGAACTATTCCTCCCCATCAGCTCTTTCATCGTAGATCGTATCGCTGGGCGACGGCAGTTCTGTTGTAGTCTGAAGGCCTACAAAATGTGTGTTCATTTCTAATTTTTCACATGAATATTCAAAAATGCACGATTTTGCTTTGCTTTTCGTCGTAGGTGTTTTCCATCGAATTGGGCTAACCGATGCTCCCTGTAAACTCATTGGAGTTCTATTCTTTACTTCATTCAACATAATATACAATTTATCGTCAAGGTGATGCTTCTATTGCAGTTGAGGGGTAAACAACTTTTTTCTATCAATAGGAATACAACTGAGATCAGGTGGATGCTCTATTGACAGTTGAGGGGTAAACAACTTTTATTTGCTATCAATAGGAATACAACTGAGAGATTTTCCGACACGTCACGCGTCACGTACTAGTGACAAGCAGCGATTCTGAGTGAAAGTCTTGCCTCGACCAGAACTGACTACGTGCTGCTTTCAAGAGGGATGCTTCTGGTACATTCAACTTCTCCATAAAGTTCTGTTTGTAAGCATAGCAGTACCACAGTGATTTCTGGGCGATCCGAGCTCTTTTCATGCATTTTGATTGATTGGAAATCAGTCGTTCTCCTTGTTTTCCTCTGCTGTTTTCATTTTGCTCGTAATTTGTCTGAGGCGGGGATTACGAGATTCTTGTTTTAAAGGCTGATTGGGCGTGCACAGTTGAAATGACGTGACGACACCGCACGTTGATAGATGTCTGTGGTAGGAACGCGCCGGATATCATGATATCAAGGGGCGTGTTGGGATAGGCGCAGCATATTCTGTCATGTGCGGGGGGCTGCCACCCTTTCGGTAACCGACCAATCGGACTTCGAAGAGACGAGATGTGGACTGTGAGTGGCTTTGGAAGGATAGCGCGCGACCGTCAGACCAAAGCCTATTCTCCCTATCCTCTGGCACTGGACAGTTGATGCTGCATGGATTCAAAGTATAGTACCATCGACTCTAAGGGTCACGTCAAGTGACCCTCATGTGCCATGGAATGGGGCCAGATACGCCTTTCAAACACTTCTACGATTTTTAACAGAAATCACATCCGTGGCTTACCCCGAAACGGTCGACAACGCGTTGAACTCTTTATTGAACTTCTAAACCTTCATTCAAGTCATGTTTGAGGCAGAGGAATTCCCATGTAACGGGGTTTTTGTTGCCATAACACGTGAGAACCTCTCACTCGTATCTGATGGACCTGCGATTCGCGGCACTCAAAAAGCGAATTTTCCGGAACGCCGACGAAAACAAGACGAGCGGCAAAAGAACGGTTTTTTACACAGGCATTTCCTTTTTCACCAGCGTAAGCCCTTTTAGAATTAATTTTCACAGCAGTGGTGAAAACTATTCACTTTGAAGCAGATTTCGGAACGGAAAGAACCCAAACTCAAGGTACTTAGGATGGTAGTAGGATACACGACGAAGGAAAACATGCGAAACGGCTTGAGAACCAGAGAAGTGGACCCTTTCTTTCCTGTGCTCGTGGGTTGATTGCTCATCAGTGCGACTCTCATCGCTGTGACCTCTTTCAACACTTACGATCCGTGTCTCTCTACTAATCTGAATCACTCGCCGCGTAAGACTGCGGAATGATTAGATAGTCTGTGGCGGACCCCGCCGACCGCGCCAAGAATGAGCCCCGCTAGGTCGCCTAGATCAAATCTATCGGTACCAATTGCGCGCCAGTCCGCATCCACAGGAAGTCTACCGGTCTCTCAACTAAGTACATTACTCCTTCTAGAATCATCGATTCAATCGTGAATCCTCTTTAATTAACACTTAAAAATGTAAAAGGGTGAAAAAAATCGAGGCAGTCAAGGAGAAATCAGGTTACGCGTTGATTACATTTTTATCACATCGCAGTACATAATTACTTTTACTGCGGGAAGTGACAACTTTCCAGCTTTAGCTCGAGGCTTTTTAAAAGTTTATTAATAGGCGATCCATCACGAGACAGCGCCCTAAAATCTTTTATGCGATATAATCTTGACACAAGATTTGTTTGAACCAACTTATTAAAAAGCTTTTAACGTTTTTGTGGTTCACTTCTCTTATCAAATTATTTTCCTATACTAGAATTTTCATTTTTACTCAAAAACGATCAAATCTTCGCATTTTGATCTACGTCCACCGTTACTTTCAATTTACCGATCTTGTGCCTCCCTTTATCGACCAAACTTTTACATAAGCTCCACCGGAAAGCATCATTGGAACCTGCGTGGTCCATGATGACCTGTAGGCGTTCAATGATGCACCATCTTTCAGATGATCTTTCCATTGTTCTCTGACGTCTGATTCACTCCACTTCTCAGCACGTCGTTTCGCCGTCTATAACGCTATACATTTTTGTTTTGGCTCGCAGCTCGTATGGCGACTGCTCCCGCGAGGAAAGCTATCGGTACGTTGCGATTGCCAATCCATTTCATTTGTTGCTTCCAACTCTCGTCATTAATATCGTCATTTGTCATTTATTTAGCTTAATTTTAATTTATTGGTTATTGGCGCACCGCTTAGCTACAACTCGATATGGGCTGATAATAAGTCAGCCGTTAGTGTCTTTGAAAAGTCTTAATGGAGCTGAAAGATCACAATCTCGAAGAGCAGCGGACCGCCATAATGGAATGCGTACGAGAAGTTTTCTTTAGGAAATGAGGCCCTTTAGTCCCCGCAAAAACGCTAAGACTTTCAACACTTTTTGCTGGACTATCTTATTAGTTTTGTGTTGTGGAGGAGGTGGTGGAATGCGCAAAAGTGCGTTCCACTTCTCAAGCGCGCGATCCGGATCGACCACGTGGCACAACTAAGCCTTTCTAATCCCTCTGAATTAGCTAATGAACTCGGACGTTGTCTGGGAGGCATACACGCACCAGATTAACTTGCGTATGATCGCTTGGCCTGTAAAGCCTTTGTAAAAAGCAACTTCCATTCACAAGTACCCCACCACGATTCTGGGCATGATTACCGACGTGCGCGGCGCATCCAGGAATGACCGACCACGCACGAATGCCTGATAACCTGTCATTCCTTTTGACCCTGCTGGGGTTGGGCAGATGGCAGACAAAACCGGCATAATTCGAAAAAATTCTAAGCAACATGACTCAATAATGCTTAAAAGCTCTGTGAACGTTGACAAGAACAATGCCAGTTCTCCGTCCAACAAACGCCACAATATCCCTAATTAGACTTTCTTAGCTGCCAAAACAAGTTTACTGCCATCTGACTACCCTCGAGAGAATGAAAGACTTTTTTGATTGGACGCTTCGAACCATGGGCCGAGGCAGGTAATGAAAGAGCTCATGCCGCTCCACCGTTGCTTCGTAACAACCAATAGGGGGGCCTGCTTTAATTTGGTACGCCATCGCGGACGGCTTGAATTTCTGATCTCATTACTCTGGTATACGAGACCGGACCTCGCATAGCTTCTTTAGCCGCCAACTAACGATCTAGGAAAGTAAG